AGACCAAGATAAAGCAAGACCTGTAGTGATCGATGATATAGAGTGTGCCTAAGGAGAGTCACATGGAGAGAAAACATTCTCTCAGGCTTTGACAGAGAGCAAATTGGTCAAGCTATGGCTGTGACTCATCCATATGACTGACACTGACAAAGAATCTACAAACTGTGGTACAGGGTTACAGGGCAAATCCTGAGGAGGTTTGACTGACCTTGGCAGATAAATCATTATTTGTATTTAGAAATTAAGGTGTATTTATGCTGTCATTTTGAATAAGGTCTCAAAATGGTACTAAAGACCAGTGTATTTACCAATAATATGGAATTTTAAAGTTGATGGTGGTGATAAATTTATTACTCATAATATGTATGTTAAATAATATGACAATATAGTGAGAGTTTTTATGCTGTTATAGTCAGAGGGTTTTTAACTTGACTGTTTTGTGAAGGACAGAGTCTAATAATCCGTACTTTATCATTTAGATACAACAGAACCCAGGGCTGGCAGAAGAACAGATACGAGTGCATTCTTGGCCCCGCGCTCTGCGGCTGTGCCTCTCATTAACCCGGCTGGACTTGGGCCTGGTGGACCCGGGCATCTGCTCTTGAAGCCCATCTCAGATGTTCTGCCCACGTTTACACCTTTGCCAGTGTCTCCTGACAACAGCGCTGGAGTTGTGCTGAAAGACCTTTTAAAGCAATAGGTGATTCTCATGCCAATAATGTTAAGCACTTTAAGAAACCATCAGCACTACATGTGTACACTTTATCACAAGTGGCCTTTTGGAAGAAGTCATGCATTTGTTTGCAGTTCTGATTTCCCTAAATTTAATAAAATTATTCTTAGTTCTTACAGAAATTTCAGGTGTCAGAAGCGAAGTGTTTGCTATATAACCTGCTTTTTCTTCTCTGATTTATTGTAATTTATACTGGAAACATTTTATTTATCTTTACTTTCGTTGGAAAAATAAAAACATAAATGCTGGTAGCTCTATATGTTACCTTTTTATTTCAGTCTCTGATTAGACACAGCTAAGCTGTCTGTTCAAAGGTGTCACCTAAAACGGAAGCCTGCCTTGCAGGAATGCAGCCCTCCTGGTGTGAGTGTAATGCGCGGCTGCCCCCACAGACTGGGATGCACAGTGTTGCTGAAAACACCACCACCAGCATCTGCCTGAGGGAGCCTCGGGACGCAGGTTCAGCAACAGGACTCAGGTTCAACCACGGTGGCCTCCAAGGCAGGGAGATCTGTGGCAGCGCCAGCCAGGGATCCAGAACATAAGCGTGAGAGAACGTGTCTCTAATTCCCTCGC